GAAGATCTTCTCCGAGGGCTTGAGGTGCCTCCGGATCTCGCAGTCCTCGGGGTGGACGGCCACGATGCCGTCGTCGGCAAAGACGTAGAACATGTTCCCCACGCTGAGGCCTGGGAGGAGCAGACGAGTGGTCAGGCCCCGCCCCCAGCAGTGGCACCCAGGAGGGTCACATGCAACACGGAGCACAGGGGAGGGCAGCCATGTGCACGCAGCTGGTGCAAACACAGAACGCATCTCCCGTCCGGGCGGAGCGAGGCTGAGCGAGCACACGCAGCTGACGGGCGGGGAGGGACCCCGGGACCGGGAGCCAGCTCTGCAGACCCCAGGCTGCCCCCCCACACACAGATGGCTGCCGCAAGTCACCTAGGGCGGCCACCAACACAGGTTTGCAAATAAAAGGTGGCCTGGGCTTTGGCATACGTTTAACCTTTCCGGTTCTGAAAGAGAAAACCTCTCTTGAGTCATGCGTCGTCGACTACTCAAATCAGAATGGATCGGACGATGCCAAAAAAGCAAAGGCTCTTGTTTGCAAGAACACGTTTGTGTACAGTGTCACTCCCAGAGTGTGAGGCCCTAACCACGCTGTGACTGCTTCACCCACACTCAGCCCTGGCCTGTCCGTGCCAGCCAGCCCCCCCATTCTGTACCCCCAGTGTCTCCGTGACAGCCACAGGCCGGGCAGCAGAGCCCACACCTGGTCCTGCCTACCCCACCTGGCCCAGGCTGTGGCTCTCTGCTTAGAAGATCTACTTAGACTTGGGGACCGGCTAGTTCAGCCTCCGCAATTTAAAGCAGAGAAACTGAAGTCCAGGGAGGGGAAGGGGTTTGGCTGAGGTTACCTGTCTTGTGCCAGAGCTGGGGTTAGACCCTGGGCCCTGCCTTTGGACCCCTGTCCCTCACTCTGTCCCTCCACAGCGGGGAAACAGGGCGCCTAGAGTTCCCCTTCCCTCATGCTTTGTCCCTCCCTCCCTCTCCTCATCCTCTCCATTCCTTCTCCCCTTCCTTCCTTCTTTCTCTTTCTCTTCCTCTCTTCTTTCTTTCTTTTTTTTTTTTTTTT